ATAGCCACTATGCTGGTAGTGCACCAATCTACCTGCTAGTGCTAGATCGGCGACACTCTCTTCAGAGTTCCTTCATCATGACGCAGAAGCATGCTGTTGCCGAGAGGCTTCGTCGGAGGTTCGAAGCCAAATACATCTCGAGTGTAGCAGATCATAATGAACTACTTCACTTCATGCTTAGGAAAATGTTCAAGTACTCCATCGACTACCTTGCTAGCCTTTTTGTTATCACCTTTCCTCTGCCAGACAACAGATGGATTTGGTGTTGCTCACGACTGGTATCGGTAGAGATGCAGCAGATGTTGACGATGCGGACATACCCGAGATAACAATTGATAAGGCAGCTTTCATTGTGAGAGGGCCTCTGCCCCCCCCCCCCCCTTCAGTACTCGCTATTCCCTTTCAGCATGAGGCTCAACAAGCTGATTTGAGGAACGTTCGAGAGTATATGGAATCGGCCCTGTTTGCTGAGGTCTTTACTCTTGGCGAGGACGGCAAGACTATAAGGCGGAAGGCTGTCGCTGCTGCAGCTTAGACAGGGAGACCATTATGCATGACATTAACTACTAATTTGAGTATTCACAGTTTCGACCTCCTCTCTAGGAGATCATAACGACATCTCCATGACCTGATTCGACTGCCATTGAGTTATCGGTTCCTATAGCGGTTCTGTCTGCACTGTGTCTCATTGTACTCATTCATAGCTCTTTTTTGGATCGATTGTTGCCGTATATCATGCCTCGAGATTGGCAGCAACAACCGCAGCAGGGTGAGGATGACAAGAAAGGTATGCTTAGGTGGTGTTACTCTTGACGCGCCTCTGAGCTCTGTGCTCAGACTCATGTTGGTTTCAGGAGGATATGATGGTGGGCAGCAATCCAAGGGCTGGGATGATAACTCGGGGAAGAACTGGAAGGGTGCCTCACGTGGATGGAATAAGGGCGGCGGCGGCGGAGGTGATTGGAAATCCAACAACAGGCAGGACAGTTGGGTAGGCTTGCATACGTCGTAAGAGCACCGATCACCTCGCTTAGAAGGATAATGACAAGTCATGGGAGGATAACGACAAATCCAATTGGCGCGGCGGCGGCGGGAATAGAAGTAGTGGTTGGAAATCCTCCCCTGAGGCGGAGGGGTCTAAGTCTAAATCATGGCAAGACTCCGGTGATTATGGCAACAAATCTTGGAAATCTCGAGATGGGTCCAAATGGGGTTCGTCCGAGGCAGCAGGAGGGGATAGTCGGTGGAAGGAGGGAGAGCAGAGTAATGGTGAGCACGAAGGTATCGAACAGTTCGCGGTTGTAGTGTTGTCTAGTAGGTGGGGAGCCTGAAGCCTGGAAGGATACCAGGAAGGAGAATTGGAGAGGAGGTGGAGGCTGGGAAGATGAGAGGAAAGGCGCGAAGAACTGGGAGGATGATAGGAACAAAGACGTTGGCAATGGCAATGAGAAGGCAGACCCTTGGAAGCAACATGACTCTGGTGAGGAGTGCTTCTACTCCAGCGTCGATCTTATCATGGTTTGAGGGTGTGGTTCTTAGGATATATAGATGGGGAGAAGGAAGATGGACAAGAGCTCGATTCGGGGGACTACGATGATGATGTTGATGATGAAGATGCTGCTATTGCTGATATGGAGTGGGCTCATCCTACATGAAGTTTGCGGGTATATAGGCTTGTAGATACTCGGACGATTGGACTCAAACCCTGGTTTGGGTGAGGAATGCTGTTGCCGGTCAACTCGAGTTTACAATTGGGGATATACCCGAGTTCGATAGTGAGTATCATTACCCATCCTCCACTGATGGAGCGTCTCTCTATCAGATTCAATTGATACATCATCACTCTGGACCTTTACTGTGTATCGCAATAGAGGTATGCTATTACCACTACCCTTTATACCAGTATCTATACCTACCTTCAGTACCGGGATCGAGGCCGTTGAAGATACCTGTTGTGTCTGGAGAGATGGAAGAGCTAGTATTCGCTCCTCGCCTGGAGGCTAAGGATGATGATGACGTATGGAAGAGGGTCACAGATGGAGGCAAAGTCGAGATGGTGAAAGTAATGAGGGAGCCTTAACATAGAGTGTAGACTTAATCTTGTTCATCATCTCTTAGATGTGCATGGGGAAGGATAGGAACGGTGTTCTAGTGTTGGAGCATCCAACAGCTGATAATGACTATAGGGATCCCGATCCTACTACTCTCCACTCGCCAAAGGAGTTCTGGACTCTGGGTATGGTCAATACCCGACGCTCACTATATATACTGATGATCATTACTAGTTACGGACATACCAACTCGTAAGATGTGTGTGACCCAGGGTGACAGAGTGCTGTACTTCGACTCGTGGTCACAGCTAGACACTCCCTATATATCAGCAACTTATGCAACTAAGCAGGTGGGTGGTGATCCCTTCCGCAATGGGGCATGTTGGGCATATGTTCAGGATCGAGGATCAGTCCTGTTGGGTGACTCTACTGACCGTAGTTGGGAAGGCTTCTCTGTTGGAGTTAAATTGAGTAATCCTGAACCACGTAGCAATGCTGGAGACTGGGTAACCCAAGCTCCTTCCCAATCACTCTCTATCCTTATAGCTGGTAGGGTGGTGAGGGCGACGCAGAGGACGGCAAGAAGAGTGACGAAACACATGGCCAACCTCATTGGTTCAACATCTCACTTAATAGTAGCGTACTCCTCGTAATCCGCTCATAAATAGTCGTTTTCAGGGGGTAAATTAAATATTTGGGTTCCCAGTGGACCGATCGAAGAAACGGATGAGAAGGTGGTGTAATCTGACGGCATATAGCCCGATTATCACTCTCGACTCAGATCCTCGTGTTTGAACACTACAGGAAAGAGTCAACATGGATCATACCCGAGGCATGGCTCCGTACTGGTATTCCTGACGCCGATGTCGATGAGGCTCTGGAATCTAAACAACCCATCAAATCGATGAATGGCTATGTGATAACGCAAGATATGGGCATCGGGAGGAATGGATGTCTCATAGGTGTACGCTCAACACTTTTACGGAACTGTACAGTCTCTGCACAAGCACCATAATCATGCTACTGGGGATGAGGATGATGCTGAACCTATTGTAGCTCCTCCAGAGGTGGCCGAGATACCTCCGATCGAGCAGCAGGTTGGCTCATTGATATGATTGAGGCTCGCCTTATCATCACACCTCTTAGATAATGAACATGTCCAAGTCCTTCTGGCATGAGCGTGAAGGCAGAGAGGGACGTCTCCAGCAGCTAAGAGAGAAATGTCAGGTCATGAAGGTAGCTGTACGCATACGGTCCATGAGGGATGACCCTCTCTTGTAGGACTACAACGATAATCTTGCCTCGCAGCTAGAGGAGGCCGAGGGATTGTACAAGGATCTCTTTGAGAAGGTACAACAGATGAAGGAAAAGATTGGGGTAGGTCGATCCTTTCGAGTCTCGACCGATCGACGGTCAAGTCTTGCTCGAAGCTCTGTAGTTTGAAGCCGCTGGATTAGAGCTCGCTCATCGTCAGGTCACCGATGGCACCGAATCATCTAATTGACTGATTGGCGTGTGAGAATTGAGTAAATGGACAATCTTACTTGAGGGTATTGATTTTAACGAGTTTCTACTATGCAGTTGCTGATGTTGACTTCAAAGTGCTGCTTGGGGGAGGCACTTCTCGCCATCGTTTGCATAGTGCTACTCATCTCACTTTCCCAAACATACTCCATCCCCTCATGAACCCATCAGTTT